TCCTTTTCGCTCTTTCTCTCTCTCTCTCTCTCTATCTTAATCTATTTTCCACGCATCTCAAGTGCTGCGCTTTGGGGGCTCAAGTTGTCTTTTTTCCCTCGATTTCGACTTTTATTGTCGTCAACAAGCGCTTAAAGTGGCTAAACGTGTAATGCTCGCGGGTCTGGGGTCTTTGGTCTTCCAATCGGCTCTAAAGTCGCGTGGCTAATTGGAACAACGTTTTTTGATTGGACGATCTTTGAAGCGCCGTTAATTTTCTTTCTTTACAAGCAGAACTATTAGAAGAGCGTGCTGTTCTAGTTTTTAAGGCACTCAAATGTCGAATAAATAATGAGAAGTTAAATTATGTTTTAAGCAACTGGAAATGTAATTCTGGGAATCTCTAAAATCTGACGTATTAATAAAATCTAATGGCAACTATACAATTTAAAACTAAATATAATATTTTGCTTGAAATTTAACTGTAGGATTTCTGTAGTTTCGAATTGAATTGAAGACAATTAAACCCATCAATAATGCATATCAGTTATTTCATTACCACTGGCAAAGCTGCCCTCATTAGATGTTGGAGATGCAGTCACTTGTTTTGGGCCAGATTACATTGGTGATTACATCTGCTGCCAATGAAATGCAATTAAAATTTTCTAGTTGCTGCTACTTGGTTGCCAATCAGTTAAAACAATTATGTGGCATTTTGTTAATGCAAAATGCATTACAGCTTCGAGTGGATGGCATCGTAACGTTTTTGGGTAAATAGCATAAGACAAATGGACAACTGTCAGCAAACATGCAAACTAATGACATTTGGCGCAAATATGCAAAATGCAGTCAGGCGACTGTTGCTGTTGTTCCTGTCACTGTTGTTGTTGTTGGTGTTGTTGCTGGCTGTTGGTGTTGCTGGCTGTTGCATGTACATTTTCTTCATCAATGATTAATTGTTTTGACAATTTCGGTCTGGCAGACATCACTTTCAGATTCCTCGCCATGTCTGACAGTGCCCCCAAAACGAGTGCGTCTAAAATTCCGCGACTATATGCAACCAGCAACTGCGCAACATTCTCATTCGCTTTCGCATTCAGAGTTGCGTGCATTTGGGGTGGCAAATCTCGCCGCCCATATTTGGCCATGATAGTTTTGTGGCATCGCTGACGAATGTCCCAAAATTGATGTATGCTTTTTGGCAGCAGCAAAGCTGCCCGTTATGGAACCACGAATGTCTGCGGGCAGACAAACTACATGCAGACCCTGTCAGATATTTGAAGATTTATAATATGACCTCTCTCTGTGCACTGATTCAGTTCTGTGCTATTCTTTAAATAGTCGGAATACTGGCAATTTTCATTAAATTGTAAATAATCAATGCTAAAGACAAGAGTCTCAACACTGCCACAAGCTGAGAACCCAGCTTAACCTTTAAATGAAAATGAAACCCATTCCTCTATCTAAAACCTATATCGGTGCTGTCAGTCGCAGTAGCTTCAACTTTCATTGGCTCTTCACACTTTTCCTAGCCCCACCAGGTGTTAAACTTTCACCAAATAAATCTGCTTTACTGTGTAAGCAGGAGAGAGATTCCTGTTTCTTCTGCTTTCGTCCGTTCCACTTAAACCAATTTCCTTTTTTGCAACCAAACGAATTAAACTTAAAATAAATAAAATGAAACCTAACAGCAACAACAACAACAAAAACAATACTTTAAACAGCTTTCAGTGGAACAGTTTGGCGTTAGTTTAAATGCCGGCGAGTGCTCGTAAAACTTTCGTTTGACCCTTGTCATGAACCTCACCACCCCAAACCCACCCCAATCCAAACATGAACTCAACAGAGGGTGGCAAGTACACACAACAACAACAACAACAACAGCAGCAGCAAATCAACCCAAAGCTGTTGTTGCCGTAATCAAGAGAAAATTGGCACCCGTCGATGTCCAAGTGCTGTGTTTGTGTCAGCATCGTTTACCCTTAACTTGGGTCCAGTTAGGGATGCTGACCAGCTGACCAGCTGACCGACTGACTTAGTTGAGGGTTGTTTGTACTACACTCCCCAATAAATTGTCGTCTTAGTCGCAGAAGATGTTTGCCTATTTCTAAGCATTTACACAAATAGTCCTTGCTCATTACTGTTAGTTATAATGTCATGTAATCGTTATCGTTTTACGCCATAAATAATGCGCTTAGTCTCCCAGCTTTTTGACCGCCACGGACGAGCTTTGCATTTAATTAAAATTATATGCACTGCACTTCAATGCTAATTACCTGGTCTGCAACTTCGGCCGTGCAGGCGTCACTTGCCAAATATTTGCCCCGCCAGCTGGTGCAGTTTTACGTGCGCTATGGAACCACCCGAATGAACTTCACGGGCAGTAGGAGGTGATTCCGGTTAATATTCAGTTTTAGATAGTTATGTCTTATTTACGTGGGCACAGGTTGGTCAGTTGCAGCCAGCTGTTCAACGCGATACTTATGCACTGTACTTGAGCGAACCGGCGACAGCTGGACTGGAACCTGAAGCTGGAACACTTTACGTGACTGCATTGCACAAGGGCTCGTTAGCAATAAATTAGATGTGGCAAGGCTTGCCATATCTGCATAGAATTTTAATTACTCAAATTACAAGTGTTGCATACCGTTAAGTCCAAGAAAGAACTTTAAAGCTGAATCTAAATCCAAACAACCATTGTCAGCTCTTCAGACAGTTCTCCGTCAAGATATACTCAACTCCTTTGCGAACTTATGCGAACTCAATGCTCCCCTGAGTCGCCTGTCAGCTCACACTTTAACGACTCTTTAAAGCGCCGGCTAACACACATTTTGTCCTTCTAACACTTGCCATTATTTATATTCTCTGGCAGTGTTACATTTTTATGCTGACCGTTGAACATTTTTTCCGGGTCATACCAGTCACAGAGATTTACATGAACAAATTTTGTAAACGTTGCACAATTTTTTTCACCAGTCATGCATTCCAATTCCTATACACATTTATCTATCGTTCTCTCGCTCTGTCTCTCTCTCTCTCAATGTCTCTTGTGCCATTTGTATTTATTTGTGAAACACGCCAAAGTCAAGAAATGTGCGACTGAACAAAGTGAATTTAATGGTAAATATGATGCGGCAGGGTTTGTTGCTCTGTTTTAGGCGTCACTATGACGGCAACACAGGCGCCAACAAAACGCGATCTGCATTGCGTTGTCCGCTTTTTATATGATTTTTAATTTATTTGTGTACACATATACATAAATATATTTTTATTTTATTTTATTTATTTTTTTATCTGGCTTTGGCTGACCAAGTGGTGCCAACTAGACGCTGCGCCAAAATTGTTAACGGTTTGCCAACTAAATGTAAATTGGGTGCAATGCACGCCAGTGCGTATGCCTGATATTTGCCGGATATGCATTTGCATACAATAATAAAGTATTCAATGTAAAAGGGCGATTTTTTTTGGCTAAAAGTATCGTAGAGCGGTTATTGAAGAGTGCAACATTTGGCACGGAATACTCTTGCCTTAAACAATTGCTAGTGTACATTGTTTGCCAAGTGTAATTAAAAATTATCTATTTGAGATGCAGTATATTGCCACAAATAAGAAAATAATAGTTTTAATTGCCCATGAGAGTCACCTCGTCTCAATTACTTGACTTACATGATTTCTATATTATTAAAGTTTGTCGACTATTTGTCAACTGTAAATTTATTGAGAAAAATCGCGAAAAATGCAAAACGCGTTCCCATAAATCATTCAGCCTAAATCCCAGTTACAAATTTGTATGCATGCAAATCAATTGCTCAATTGTTCCTATTGAAGCGCAGTCAATACAATAAAATATGTACCCATACAGAATCCCTAGACCTGAAATGCTCCTCATCCAGGGTAAAGCAGTCACAGCTAACAAGTTGCTGGCCATAAATAAATATCATATAAGCCCAGCGAAGCTCGCTCGCCGTTAAAAAGAAAGGCTGAAAAAATAAACAAATAAAAATAAAGCCAAACAATAATCGCGCATAGAATATAAATTTCTGTGCGCAGTAACACAATAAACTTAATTTGCAAATTCAATTTAAATAATACCACACAGTGAGCAATGTGGAAAAAATATATACATGTATACATATATATATATATATATATGCTTATATATAAGTTGGAAGTATATCGCGAATCTGCAGTTGGACGGTTTTTATATAGAAAATCGCCACAACAAATTCAATTGTCTGGATTTAGTGGCAGCTGTCCTTTTGCTTCTGCGAAGGATTAAATTTGCTTAACTGGCAAAAACTGTTGGGATTGGATTTGTGGAGAATGAAGTAAATAAAACATAACATATACAAACTGTATTTACGGGTACATTCATTTTTTTTATTATCATATAATTGAGCTGTGGTCTGAACTGAATATTCCACAAGTTCATATTCGACACATTTAGTAAATTGCTCTTTTTTCTTATTAATTCATATACCAATAATTTAAGGCAATTATAAAACTAAGTTCTTAAACAAAATCTAAACATTTCACAAGTTATGCTGTAAATATTTTCATTTTTTCATACATGTTTACAAAGTAATCTTTTAATTTTGACGTTCATTAACTTTTTGCAGCTGCAAAAATGAAATTGAATTTAATGCTTGAATTATTTTAATTTCCTTTGGATACCAACCGTGTCCAACACAAACTAATAAACGAGAAGACACGTACGCACCTCAGATGACAAGCTGACATCGCTTCGGCTCCGGCTCCGGCCATTCACCCCATGTTGCAACATTGGCTACCTCGATGGTGACACAAGTCTTATGAGATAGCAAAAATTAAAGTAAGGGGAAATTTGAAGCACACTCTTAGTGACAAATCAAAACTTTCCACTTCCATAACTTTAACTAATCTGAAAATAATTGAATTTTTTTGAAGTTTAACAACTGGAGTTTATTGTCAGTTTAGTTTAATTATCATAACATATTTCTGTCTTGTCTTGTCTGTTCTGTTTTTTTTTTGTGTTGTGATTAATAAGAATACACGCTTTATATAAACTTGCAATTACATAAAGACACTTAACAAAATTGATGACAATTAGGCGGCATAAGGGAAATGCTAGAAAAACATCTGGACGATATGATCAGCGCGCTGTTGGCCTGGAAGTCAGATAAACGCATCACTGTACCGGAAGTAGATATTTTTAAGCTCCTCTATGAGGCGCGTAACATTTTAAAAGATGATCCAATGCTGCTGGAGGTGGATGCCCCGGTGAATGTCGTGGGTGACATACACGGTCAGTTTGGGGATATGCTGCGTTACTTTGATTCAACAGGATATCCGCCGAAAGCAAATTATCTTTTTCTGGGGGACTACGTGGATCGTGGCAAGTATTCGGTGGAGACGCTAACTCTATTGCTGGCTTATAAGGTCAAATTTCCGGAATGCATTTATTTACTGCGCGGGAATCATGAGTCGGCTAACATTAATCAGATGTATGGATTCTTTGACGAATGCAAGCGACGCTTTACTGTACGCCTCTGGAGATGCTTTGTGGACACATATAGTTGCATGCCGGTTGCAGCGATTATTGGTGGGCGAATATTTTGTTGTCACGGTGGTCTGAGTCCATTGTTGCATGAAATGGACGAAATACGTAACTTGCCGCGTCCATGCGATATTAAATCAAATGGCTTACTCTGTGATTTGCTCTGGTCCGATCCTGATCCGGCCGTAACTAGATGGGCCAAAAACTCACGAGGCGTCAGCTTCACTTTTGGCACCGAAATTGTCCAACAATTTATCACGCGCTTCAAATTTGATATGATCTGTCGCGCCCATCAGGTCGTTGAGGATGGCTACGAGTTCTTTGCCAAACGCCAACTAATTACAATCTTCTCGGCGGTCAACTACTGTGGCGAATATGACAATGCCGGCGCCATGATGTGCGTTGATAAACTTCTCACCATTTCGTTAGTTATAATTAAACCGACAACACGAGAGATCGATCTAAATTGCAATTTTAAAAATCCAGAGCTAGCGAATGCCAAATAATAAATAAATCTTATTTCGAAGGGTGCAAGCGCTGCAGAGCCAGGAAAATCACAATTAGTTGTGAGTTATATACTTCGAAAAGCTTTATTTATTATTTGTCTTCATCTGGTTACAAATCTGGATAACACATAAAAATGTTGACGGACAGTTTCACAGAGACTTCAATAAATATATGATTAAAAGTATGTTTTGCACTTAAATTACGTTTTTGCATTGAGGGTTCAATTTTGAAAGAGTTCTCTTGCTCGGGGTTTGTTCTGTTGTTCCCAGTAAGTTTGTCATCTTTGTGAAATATGTTATAAAAACAAAATCACAAACCAAAACACACGAAACAAAAAAATAAAAACAAAATACACATGTACGCAAAACTTTTACCATTTAAAACCCGACTTAAGAAGCACCCGCCCATTTATGAAAATGAAGTTAACTTGCAACAAGTAGGAGGCGATGCACCTGTGATTGTAAACGTCGATGAGGTCAATTCGCACAGATCCTCAAATTTATCACAAACAAAATTAACTTTAAACGATATTATCGGCAAGCTGCAAGCATTCCGAAAGATGAAACAGCAGCGGGTGCCGCTGTTCGAGCAGGACCTATTCAATTTGTGCCACTTTGCGCGGCAGATCTTTCTCGATGAGCCGATGCTCTTAAGTTTGGAAGCACCGTTTCGCATTGTGGGCGACATTCATGGCCAGTTTGGTGATCTGCTGCGGATAATGGAACACTGCGGCTATCCGCCTGAAGTCAGTTATTTGTTTTTGGGCGATTACGTGGATCGTGGCAAGAACTCCGTGGAGACCATATCGCTGTTACTGGCGCTAAAGATCAAATATCCGGCGCATATATATTTGCTGAGGGGCAACCACGAGTCGCAGACGATAAATCGCGTTTACGGTTTCTTCGATGAGTGTAAGCGACGCTACACAATCAAGCTGTGGAAGAGGTTTGTCGACTGCTACAACTGCATGCCAGTGGCAGCGATTGTCTCCGATCGCATCTTCTGCTGCCATGGCGGACTCAGCCAGAAGTTGAATGAAATGAGTGATATTGCCTCGCTGCCGCGACCCACCGATGTACCCGATAGCGGTCTGTTGTGTGACCTGCTGTGGAGTGATCCCGATCGCATTGGCTTCGGTTATTCGCCCAGCGATCGCGGTGTTAGCTTCCTTTTCGGTCGCGATGTGATTCAAAAATTTCTGCGCAAGCATGACTTTGACTTGATTTGTCGTGCCCATCAGGTGGTGGAGGATGGTTACGAGTTCTTCGCCAAACGCCAGCTGGTAACCATCTTCTCCGCACCTAACTATTGTGGCTTGTATGACAATGCTGGTGCCTCGATGGGTGTTGACAAGGATTTGGTGATCTCGTTCGATATACTGCGTCCAACGGACAAGCGCAAAGTGAAAATGCCAGAAGGTAAATGAGTCAAGCATCGGAGTCTAATTCAAAATCAATTTGAAACCGACTCAATTGAGAAACGGGCACAAACTGTCAACATAAATAAAATACAAACAAAACAAAAATCTGATATGCATATATATATAACTAAGCATTTTGTATATTTCGTATCATTTAAGTGTTGCTCACAGCTTAAATTCTCTGTGTAAGTCCCATTAGTTGCGTCCGAATTTGGGTTGGAGGAGTTGGGAGGAGGAGTTCCAAAATGTCACAGCCACAGCTGCCACGTCTTTCGGTGGTCAGCGATCCAACCAGCATTGATCAGATCATCCTAAGCATTATCGAGGTACGGCGAGTGAAGCAACTGCATCTCACTGAATCGGATATACGAGCGCTGTGCGTACGATGTCGAGATGTCTTTTTGGGGCAACCCATGCTGCTGGAGCTATCGGCGCCAATAAAGATCTGTGGGGATTTGCATGGACAGTTTACGGATTTGTTGCGGATGTTCGATTATGGAGGTTATCCGCCCGCCTCGAATTATCTTTTCCTAGGCGATTATGTGGATCGGGGCAAGCAATCGATTGAGACGCTCTGCCTCCTGCTGGCCTACAAAATCAAGTTTCCACAAAACTTTTTTGTGCTTCGCGGCAATCATGAGAGCGCTGGCATCAATCGCATCTACGGTTTTTACGACGAGTGCAAGCGTCGTTATACCATCAAATTGTGGCGCACCTTTGTCGATTGCTACAATTGCATGCCAGTTGCAGCGATTGTGGATACGAAAATATTTTGTTGCCATGGTGGACTCAGCCCGGAGCTGAACAATATGTCGCAAATTAATAAGTTGATACGTCCGTGCGAGGTGCCCGACAAGGGTCTGCTCTGCGATCTGTTATGGGCTGATCCGGATCCCAAGGTCCTTGGCTGGAGCGATAATGATCGTGGTGTGAGTGTCACCTTCGGTGCGGATACGGTTGGCAAGTTTGTCCATCGCTTCAAATTTGATCTGATCTGTCGTGCCCATCAGGTCGTTGAGGATGGCTACGAATTCTTTGCCAAACGCCAACTAATCACAATCTTTTCGGCTCCCAACTATTGTGGAGAGTTTGATAATGCCGGGGCAATGATGTCTGTCGATGATACCTTGATGTGTTCTTTTTTCGTTCTCAAGCCAGCCAAGAAGGTTGGTCTACGCAAAGTGCAGAACAAGGGCTCTGTATAAAGCATCTTTCGATGCTGAATGCGTAAAATGCAATTCGTCAGAATTGTGTTGCCAATAATCTTGGGTTTTCTTACAATTTTTGCTCAAAAAAATTTATTTTTGCCTGTTGCTCACCTACATCGATCTGTGTCTTAGTGTGTAAACAATTATAAACACGTATTTTGGGCGAAAATAAATAAGTTTGCAGAGAAAACAAGTTGTTTAATTGAATGTCAGACACAATAGTTCTTATTTGATTTTGCCTATAATTGTTGCATGCAACACATTGGTCTGGCTAGTGGCCGTTAGCATACGTCATCGGTGCAATTCATTTTCCATTGGCCTGGCACTTAAACATTTTAATCAAATGACAGAACTGAAAATAATTTATTTTTTGCACACGATACGTTTGGGGAGAATGAGGTCCAGTTTTGGCTTTAATGAAATTGTTTGTTCTCTGGCGCAAACATGAATTGAAAACAGAAATAGACTCTGCCGTTGGAGTCGCCAGTTGCCAGTTGCTAGTTGCCGGTTGCCCATTTGGCAGCTGTCGGCAGTTGGTGGACTAATAGATTTTAAATGTGGCTGTCGCTGTCAGCAACTGCAACTGGTTGCATTGGGCGGAGCAACAGCAACTATAAGCGGACTTCAACCATATCGTGGTTAGGGAGCGGGGTATGTTGTGACGTCTACATGAAAATATATCAATTGTGATTACGATCACAACAGCAGCAACAACCACGGCTCATAAAAGCAAATATACAGTTGGCTGAGTGATTCCTAGCGGTTGTGCAGTAATCGATAATGTTTGGGAATAGTTTAGAGTAGTTTTTAATAAAAATTAATCATTTTTCGACTCTAGATTAATACAATCAAAGTTGTAATCGAAACTTTCGTTAAACAAACTGCTCATCATCCTTGAACTTATGTGTTTATAAGCAGGCCTTACTAATTTGATGATGTCGTGTAAAGAAATTGCAAAAAGTAGCAATAAAAAGCACAAAAAAAGAAAAAATGTTGGCTGAATATAAACCTATACAAAAAGCAAACTGAACTTTTGGTGGATGTCGAACTATAGAATAGTTGTGTTTTTATTATAAGCCCACACTTATCAACTGAATGAATATAAACAAATAAAAACGGCCACAGTTTGGTTTAATTTATCACTGTATATTGCCATCAAGATCATCTACAACTGATAATGTAAGTGGCTGTTGCGGCTCTTTATGAACATATAGCAACGCCAATGAAAATACCAACTAAAAAGACAAAATCTTGTCGCCATTCCCATTTGCAATGCTTTTAATTGCTGGACATGACCACAAGCAATTACGCTTAGATTTATAGCTGGCAATTTAATGGACGGCAATTTAATACCCAATTACAAAATAAATAAAACATAGGATATAGATGCCAATGATAAATTGCATTTGATGTGCTCTGAATTGCCTGCGGCCATCTTGGGTACTTCTTCATCCAAATTTGTTGTCCAAAGCAATATGATCAATGATAATAATCTTTATGGTACAATTTGTTTGATTTAATCAATATTCTGTGAAACACTTCATATAAATCGCTAAGGGGCAATCTCATAATCTGATTAAATGGCTTTAAGATTTAGTTTTTTTTTTTAACAAGAAAAGATAAGTTCGTTACTGTGTGAATATGGGTATGAGAAGTCATGCAATCTCAACTAGGATATAAAAAAAATTCCGTTGACAGACTTCTAATATTTTTTAAATTTCCAACAAATAATTAAAAAAAATTTTTAAAATTCCCAACAAAAAATCTGAAATTCACCATATATTTTCAAAATATTCTTGAGACCTTGACAATCAATTTCATGTTGGACATACCACTAGGACTATTTATATATAATACAAGAAGTAGCAGAGCTACTCCTACTGTTGTCACTCTCATGATCGACTGGTAACGGGGAAATATTAATAACTATATATATATATTCGCTAGATTATCAAGCGAATTATGGTATTACTTATCTGATTTTGTCATTTTCTGATGAAACGCTCTAAATAAATCACAGAGTTGTAGTAGTAATCTAATCGCATAATGACGATAAGAAATAAAGATAATTAATTCTCCTCGGATCGTCCAGCCATGTGATGAGATACGTATCGAATTTAGGTTCCAAAGTATGTAGAAGCAAATATGTAACTTTGAAAATGCTATGCACAAAGGAGAGCATGCTTCGTGCTGACAGGTACATCTAGCGAAACAAATAAGTATTTGGACATGATTCTAAAATATTTTCGTTTTAATTTACGGTTCTTCGTATAGAATATATACTATGTACAATCTATTTAAATATAATCTATGGCGAGTTAGTGATAAGTCGAACAGTTGCACTACAACCATCGTCCACTGGTTACCAGGGATACAGCAAGAGTCAGGATCAGGCCAATGCCACTGAGCGCAGCGGAGCCATTGAATTTGACCGTATTGCAACCATCCGTGTTACACACTTGGCAATGATCCTCATCATCGATCTCACATTCAAGCCCACTGCCGCAGGATCGCTGAATGTATCCATCAGCATCACGGGAGGATACACAGGTATCATCAGCAGCATAGATGGGACAAATGGCCAAATGATTGGGCTCTGCGGCACAATCGGAGTTGGCAACCGAATTGCAAATGTGGCACTTGCGACGATTGATAGGGAAAATGTCCACGTTGCACTTGCTACCTGCACAGGAGGCACAGGTGCCATTGGCCACACAGGCGTCGCCCTCGTTGCTAGCCAAGCTATTCAGACAGCCACGTATTGTGTGACCATTCTCCAATCGGGTAACACAATCCGCTAATGGGGCGTGGCAGGTGTCCGTGGTGCTCACCTCAGTGGGCGACTGGGCGCACTCGGGTGTTTTACTGGAGTCACAGGAAATACAGGTGCCGCTCGAGGGCAATCGAGTCAATTCGTTGCAATCTTTCGTTTTGCATTCGTATAACAGATTCGAAGAGCGCCATTGATCCAGATCATCGCTATTCTGATTGCTCGCGCAACCCATTATATCGACAACGCCATCCTTGTACTTGGCAAAGCAAAAGTCATCCTTATCATAGGCCGCACAGGATTCCGCACGGCTCGTGTCGCAGTTGTTGGCGTCAGTGCAAACGTGGCAGCTGAGACGATCTGCTGGATAAGCAAATGTGTTGCATTCTCCATTATCGCAGGTGGCACAGTTCGTGCCACTTTCATCGCTGGTGCAGGCAGTACGATCGAAGAGTTCCTTGTCGCTTAGGCAACTGCGCACCAGATCATGGCCAGACATTGCCACCATACACTTGCCCTGACACTGGCGACTCTCCAAATCTGCGCTCTGTGGATACGTAACACATTTGCTATCCTTTGCTGAGTTGCAGAAGATACAGGTAGTAAGATCCTCCAAGTTCCAGGCATCGTTGCATTCATTTGATTTACACTTAACGCATAGCGTGGGATTCTGGCGACAGTAGAGATCTTCATAGTCATCCACATCATCGGCACATCCACGACGACGCACAATCTTGCCATCCAACTCAAAGACCGTTTTGCAATCCTGCTCAACATTTGGTGTACATTTTACGGCTGGACCCAAGGAACTGAGGCAATGCTCTCCGGCGCACGTGTGACACTTCAAGGGTAGCTCTTGGAATAGGCCATGCTGTCCATCATCCACACGATTGGCCAAATCAATTGAATTGCACTTGCTGCCAACGCAATTGCGACAATTGTGATAATCACTGGCACTGCATTTGACGGAGCTGCTGCAGCCACGGATTGTCACATTGCTATCCAGCGATGTCTGGCAAGTCTCCTCATCAGTCAGCAAAGCACAGGCTGCAGCTTGAGTTGGGTTGGAAACGCAGCTACTGTCGTCTGAGGAGGTGCAAGTGTAGCACTGCTGTCGGTCAGCAGGGAAGATCTAAGAGCAATTGTAAGTTTTGGTTAGATCAGATGGTCTTAGTCGTAGCTATGTGTTATCTCATTTAGCTTACATCGCGATTACATCCATCCTTTTCACACACCTCGCAGTTTTCGTCATTGCCCAGCAGGCAGCCAGCAAAGTGCGCCTGTGGTAGATCATAAAGACAACCACGAATTGTTGAACCATCTGGGAAATTGAGGGATTGATAACAAACGCATCGATTAATACTGGATTTCGCACTTACCATCCTCCAATCTCGTCATACATTGTGGATGCGGGAACTGGTTACAGGTCTTAAATTGGGCAACTGCCAAAGGAGTTGTGGCACATGTGGGATCTGTACGAGAATCACAGATTGCACACTTGACTGGCGATGGCATTTGTGGCGTATTGCAATTGTTGCCCTCGCAGACAGCAATTCGTTTCGTTTTGATCACACTCTCTAGATCCTGATCGCGGAATGAGCTCAGGCAGCCCAATTGCTTAATGCTGTTCTCCTCATCCACCCACAGGTAGCAACTGTCGTTCGGTTTGTAAATTGCGCACAGCTTCGTCGTGGGTTCCTCGCAGTCACCGTTCTCGCAGTGGAAGCAGCTAACACGATCTGTGGGCAGCGACTGCACATTGCAAGCATCTCCGGAGCAGGAGGCGCAATTGGCATCTTTGTCAGCGGAACAGACTAATTGTGCATCCTGCTCTTTGTCATTCAGACAGGTGCGTATCAGATCCAAGCCATCCTCGGCACTGCCGTAGAGCGCAGTCATGCAATCACCTTGGCACTGACGACGCTTGTGTGCGGTGCTAGTGGGATCCCATAGGCAGGATGTGCTCTTGAAGGAGTCACAGTAGATGCAGCTGTTGTATTGCGTGATTGCTGTCGCCGAGTTGCAATCGTTAGACTTGCAAACGGGACACTTATCGGCATTGTTTGCACAGTAGCTGCCGAGAGTCGCATCCTGCTCAATGACATCCTGACAGCCGCGACCGGTAACGACTCCGTCCGCATTGAATACGGTCATACAGTCCTGTTCGTTATTGGCCTCACAGCGTTCGGAACTGATGCTGCTCTCCAGGCAGCCATCACCCGTACAGGTAAGGCAAGTCAGGGGCAAATCCTGCCACTTGCCATGATTATCATCGGCGTAGGCATTCAAATCGGCAACGTTGCAGCCATCTCCACTGCAGATGACACAGGTCTTGGAGTTGGGCTCACAACTGATCGAACTGGAGCATCCTCTGTAGGTGATATCGCCTCGCAGATTCGTCACACAGGTATCTTCTTCAGCATAGAGGGGGCAAATAGACAGACTGCTCGGCGTCGATTCACAATTGGGATCGGTCTCCGAGTTACAAATGTGACAGGAAGTACGATCTGTGGGATAGATTTTCTTGTTGCAGTGATCACCCACGCAGGAAGAACATCCCTTGGCGGTGCCATCGTAGCAGCCCAAGAACTCGTCATCCTCAAGACTGGACAGGCAGCCACGTTCCGTACTGCCATCCTGCAGCACACGGGAATAACACTCGGGCAGACCCGAAATCAGACAACTAGTCTCGCTGTTCACCCCGCCTGGATTGTCGGCACAATTTAGATCTGTGCGTGAACTGCAGAGAACACAGGTCTGTGGCTCCTGGATCAAGTCCAGCGTGTTGCAATTATCATCCTTGCAGGTCAGCAATCGCTTGGAACGCTGCAGCTCGTGGATATCCTCGTGACTATACTCACTAAGGCAACCATGGGCAACAATTGATCGTTGCTCATCGAACTGAATGAAGCATTCGTCCGTCTCGCGATAGTTGGCGCAACTTGCTGGCTGAGGATCCTGACAGTCATCGCCGCGGCAGATGAGGCAACTGTGTCGCTCGGCCACCAGATCGTCCTTGTTACACATGGCATCAGTGCAGCTGGCACAATGCTTGTTGGCCTCGGTGCCGCAGCTGGTGCGATCTTCCTCCTCCAAATCATCGTTACAATTGCGCACCAGAGCGTAACTGGGATTACTTGTCTCCTCGCCGAAGAGTGGTCGGAAGGCGGACATGCAAGCGGCATTGCACTGACGTGTTCTATGGATCTTGCTGACATCATTCACACAATTGGGATCCGCGCTGGAGTCGCACACCAAGCACTCAACGTAACTATTGAGGCTATCGGCCACATTGCAGCCATTGGAATTACAACGTGGACAATTGTCGGGTTGCGAATCACAATAGCTGGACGCAGAAGTGTCCAATGCATTGTAGCAGCCACGTGAGGTTACAACATCCCCAGTCGCGTCAAAGACTGTCGCACAATTATCGTTGCCCGAGCACTTCTCCAGCTGACCACTGCCAGACTTACATTCTTCGGCATTAGCACAGGTGAGGCAGCTGATTGGGGTCTGTTGCCAGATGCCTGGAGAGCCATGAATATTCAAACGGTTCAAGTCGATGGTGTTGCAGGCATTGTCGCTGCAGATGCGGCAGGTGTTCGAATCACTGGGATCCGAGCAGCTCAAGCTGGAGCCACAACCGCGATGGGTGATATCATTTACCAAAGTCGTCACGCAAGACTCTTTCTCATCGTAAATGGGACAGACGGCGCTACTGCTGGGCGCACTAGCGCACAAAGGATCACTGGCAGAGTCGCACTGATGGCAAAGACGACGGTCCGCTGGGAATACAGTGAGTCCATTACAATTGCTGCCCGTACACGTTTGGCACTTGGCCGAGTTGCCCATGAGGCAGTCATAAAAGTCAGTGCTCTCCACGTCTGACAGACAGCCACGAGTCGTTGTTCCAGCTGCATCGACATGTGTCACACACTGCGTATAGGGTAGCGAGGCGCAAGGGCTGGTTGTTAATAACTGATTGGGATTGGTGGCACAGCGAGGATCGATGAGGGAGTTGCATTGTAGACAGATATTTACATCGGGTATGATATCGTAATAATTGCAATTCTGACCCTCACAGAGCAATAGACTTCCCTGGGCCACCAGTTCGTTAATGACCTCAGTCTCAAAGTCACTCGCACAGCCCATGCCAACAATGCTCTGATCAACAAAAGCTAAGTAGCATTGATCCTTTTCCTTGTAAGCCAGACACTTGGATGTTATCGCATCTACGCATTCCGAATCCTCGCACACATAGCACTCTTGAGGTGTCTTCACAATGTCCTCACCATTACACAATGGTCCCGAGCAGGCTGTACAACTGGCGTGCTTACCCTCAGCACATTGATCGCGATCTTCCTGCTCCAGATCATCCAGGCAGCCGCGTGTGGGCAGCAGAGCGGAGTCAACAGCAGAGCTACGCGGATACATGCCCGTCATGCATTGGCTCTGGCATTGGCGCGTCTTTGTGGGCTTCTCCCAGGCACAGTTCGGATCATGCTCAGCATCGCACTGATAGCACTCGACATAGGTGTCCAGACTATCAGCATTATTGCAGCCATTCGACTTGCACAACGGACACTTCTCTATATCCGACTCACAATAGCTGGCATGCTCTTCGATGACGGCATCGCTGCATCCCCGGGCAATCACATTGCCGTCAACATTAAATACTGTGGAGCAGAGTTGTTTGTTGTTGCCCTCGCACTTTGTTGGTGTGGTCACACTAGCGCAGCTCTCTAAATCCGTGCAAACATGGCAGCTCAATGGCAAATCCTGCCACTTGCCCGGCTCACCCACATAGCTGCCAGCCAAATTAACTGAGTTGCAATTGCCATCCTCGCAGATGCGACACTTGCCCACCTGGCTGGCATCGCAGTTGACCTCTGACTGGCAGCCCCGACGAGTGCGTCCGTTTTCCAAGCTAGTCACGCAGACATCGCCGGATTCGTAAATTCTACAGTATTTGGCATATGTAGCTGGGTTCTTCTCGCAGTCCTCATCGGTCTCGGAGTCGCACTGCAAACAACTCTGCCGGTCAGCGGGATACAGTTCATTGTTGCAAAAGTCTCCCATGCATATCTCACAAGTGGTGCTATTGCCGCTGGTGCAATCGTCAAAGAGTTCGTCATCCTTGTCCATCAAACAGCCACGGTGCAAAACACCATCTATTGCCAGGTAGAAGAAAATAAAATTTAAATTAGATGTGCAATAATAGCAAGGATAACAAGTTTGTCAATATTCGAAAGTTGAAAAAGCTTGTAGTATATCAATAAACTTGGCACTTTGTTGCTTGAATGGCATAGAATATTTATATACAGTGAATGTTACGCAATAGTTTGGATCTGTAAGCCGTGTACCACATGTAAAGGATTGAGCGTATCTAATTTTGTCTCTCGAATAGTGCATTCTTACGTGATTTGAACTTTCGAGAACATGCGAATGTCACTCACCGTCATCGATGTGCGTGTAGCAGTCCGGAGTTAAGTAATGCTCACACAAGGGGCTAGCCAGTGAAGTTCCTTCAATACATGAGGATTGGGATTTGGAGTTGCAAAAGACACACCAGTTACCACGAAGATTAAGGACATCCTTAGTATTGCAGTCCTTGCCACTGCAGAGATACAAGTCCCGACGATTCAATTGGAGGAAAGACGTCTCCAGATCACTGGCACAGCCCATGCTCTCGATTTTGAGATCGCCCACATGGATATAGCACTGGTCGCTGCTGCGATATGAGACACAAGTCTGTGAGCTAATTTCGTCGCATTCCTCATCGTCACAGTAGTTGCAGCTAAGACGTTCTTCGGGGACTTCGTTCTTATTGCAACTGGCTTCAGTGCAGGCAACACAGTTTTCCATATTGCCGTCGGCACAAGCGAGACGATCATCATATTCCAGATCATCCAGACAGCCACGTGCCATCTCCAATGGTGAATCCGGATCCACTTTGGAGCGTGCATAGAGTCCGGTGAAGCAGCTGCCCTGACAGGATACTTTACGTGTAATATCGCCAACACTGCGAACGCAGGCAGCTTGATCCGTTCCATCGCAAAGGACACAGTCCACGTAGGCATCCAGCTGCTTGGCATTGTTGCATCCACTCGATTTACACTGCTTGCAACTGCCTGGTGTCGCATCGCAGTATTGGGTTAGTTCAGCATCGGCGTACAGCTGATCAGTGCAGCCTCGCAGGATCACGGATCCATCGCTCGCAAAGACTGTGGCACAATTCTGTTCATTGTTGTTGGCGCACTTTTGCAGGGAACCTAAGCTGGAGCCTTGACACTCGACACCTTCGCAGGTATAGCAATTAATTGGTGGTGTCGCCCATTTGCCTGGATAGCCAATATTCCAGATCTCCAGATCTACAACGTTGCAATTATCACCGCTGCAGGAGCGACAGTATTGTTTATCCGCCGGATCGCACACGAATTCCGTCTCGCAGCCACGATATGTGGCACCATTCACCAACTTGACGCTGCAGCCCTTGCTGTCATCGTGGCGTGGACAAACGCCGGAGGCGTCAGGCGCTGAGCCACAGTTGGGATCATCATTGGAGTTGCAGCGTTGGCAGCGACGACGATCAGCCGGATAAATCTCTATGTTGCACATGGAGCCTTCGCACATCTCACAGTTGCCCTCACCCAACAGGCAGGACCGGAGCTCAGCTTTAGCCAAGTTGCTCACACAGCCGCGCTGTGTGGAACCATCTGTAAAATGTCAGAAATAAAGTTAAAGTAAATAATGTACAATAAAAAATAAAACAGATCAATTCCTCCGAGATCAATTCCTCCGAGAAATTTAACTCACCTGAGTGTATACGCGACATGCAGCTAGTTTGGGGCATCACATTGCAGTTATCGAGTTGGGTGACCTTGCTGGGATCAACTGCACAATTTACATCATCCAAGGAAGAGCAGATCGCACATTCGTTTGGCTTTGGCAAATTCTCGAAGGAATTGCAGTTATTCTCTGTGCATAATATCAAATTCTCCAGATTCTTGTCGACAAAGTCTGGCTCCTGGTCGGAGAGACAACCGAGACTCGCAACCGATGCGGTATCATCGAATAGAGTATAACAACGATCTGTGGGACTAAAGTGAAGACAGGCAGCCTGGTCTGGATCTTGGCAGTTATCTTTGTTATCGCAGATATAACAGCTGAGCGAACTCCCGATCACATCATTCATGTTGCAGGCATCGCCCGTGCATGCGACACATTCTTTGTCTGTGCCAGCGGCACAGGTCGCTTGATCCTCTGCATCCTTGTCGTCTAGGCAGCCGCGCACGAGAGCATATAAATCAGTACCCTCTTGTTTCCTTATTGCCGTCATGCACTGACCATTGCAAAGACGTCTGTCTGTTATTGCTGGGGGATTCTTCACACAATCCTCATTCTGGCTGGCATCACAGTAGACGCACTCGTTGTAGCTGTCCAGCGATGTGGCGCTGTTGCACCCATTTGAGTTACAGTTGTGGCACTTGCCCGTATTCGCATCACAGTAGTCGCCGAAGGAGGCTTCCACCACATTGCTGCAGCCGCGTGCATTCACCTTGCCCGTGTCATCGAACACTGTCATGCAATACTCATCCTTGGCAGCGCATGCAATCTCCTCGAGATTGCTACTGGCACAGGTGGTCGAATCGGTGCAGCTCTGACAGCTCAGTGGCAACTCCTGACCCCACTGACCCGGCTGACCATCGGCCCGCCTCTTCAGATTTTGGTTGTTGCAGTTCTTGCCCAAACAGTGATTGCAGCTTTTGCTGTCGTCGCTCACACAGCTCAGGGAGCTGGCACAGCCACGCAGCGTGTTGCCATTGGAGTCGATGGTTGTCACACATTTCTGATCCAGCTGATGTAGCAGGCAAAGAGATTCAGCATTGGGCGCCCCCTCACAAGTGTCATCCACGCTGGAGTCGCAGATGTGGCAAGTTAGACGTTCAGTCTCTGGTTGCAGCTGTTAAAAAGTAACATGCAATTTATTAACTGGTAGACGATAGGAAAAAATTTAGAAGTTAACACACACAAAGCTTGCATATGAAAAAGCTCATGAGATGAAAGCTTTTGCCAAACTGAAACACATTTCGGTGATCTTCGAGTCAAACTTTTGGGAAGTTGCCTATTAAGCTTTTATTTAGGTTCTTAGCTTATTTGGGTCAGTTTCGGTAAGCAAGAGTAAGCTTTCAGACAAGCACATTTTCATTACTCTATGCCGAAGCCTCCAAACTTAACATGTATGTATTTATTTTATCATCCTCCATATTAGTTATTATTTACAATTTTAAATTGTCTACTTCCACTTCAGCAAATCGAAAAAAAAAACACTTACGAAACTTAATCAAAAACACCGTTCTTCTTAGTGTTCAGTCCCTTTTACCATTCTAATTAGAATGCATTACTCACCTTAATATTGCAGTTATCGCCCGAACAAGTCACACATTTGGTGGCATTGAGACCGCCGGCACATTCAACATAATCCTCCGTGTCCAGGGTGGTGAGGCAGCCGCGTTCTGTGTTTCCATCATCGCGCAACAGGGTATAGCAATCAGTGAATAAGGGATGTGAACATTCCGTTTCGGAAATCAATGCAGATGGTTCAATGGCGCAATCGGGATCAGTGCGGGAGCTGCAGACTTTACATGTTTTTTCGGTGGGCAATGCGGAGATCACATTGCAATTCCAGCCGGAGCAGAGCCAAAGGCGCTTCTCACTCTGCAAGACCGCAGCATCGCTGATATTATATTGACTGAGGCAACCCAGCTCATTAATTTTGCCGGATTCATCCAGCTGGATGAAGCACTGCTCCTCTCCACTGGCGGCGACAGCGCGGCACGTCTTTGACTCTGGTTTGTCGCATTTGCCATCGGTGCAAAAGTTGCACATGCCGCGGGCACCCATATCGGCCGTGTTGCACTTGGAGGTACTGCAGGGTGCACAGTTGGGCAGAGTCCCCTCGACGCAGGCGTCGCGATCATCCAGGTCCAGATCGTCCAGGCAAGTGCGTACAAGTTCCAATGGAGAACCCTCATCGCTGGTGCGGGAATAAAGCGCAGTGATACATTTCTCATTACACTTGCGGGTATCCGTAATCACTTCGTAGTCGAAGACGCAGCTTTCATCATCTTGGGCATCGCACGCCAGACAGTCAATCATTTGTGTGTTGGTCTTCAGATTGTTGCAGCCACTGGAACGGCACTCGTAGCAGTCCGTATCCTCATCGCTGCAAGTTGTCGCCAAGTTATCGCTGCAGCCACGTTGGATCACTGATCCATCGCTTGCGAAGACTGCCATACAACTCTGGGCATCGTTATTCTCACATTTGTGCAGCTGGCCCGAGCTTGCGGAGCACTCCTCTAAACTGGAGCATACATAACAATTTATTGGACCCGTGTGCCAATTATGCGTCCAAGCATCTGTGGAAATGCAATACAATTGTTTAAAACATGAGTTGAAATTGATGTTTTCAGTTCTCGTTGAATTTATATTGAGCGCGATTTATGTAACATTTTGATAATGTTAGTTTAATATTTACGAAAGAATACATTGTTAGAAAATGATGATAAAATTCTTTTATTTTTTCTACTTAGTGTCATACCAATATTTATAAAGTACAATTTGTAGAAATATATTTTGTTTCTAATCTTGGTAACCAAATCAGAGCTCAGTTAAGAGCAAGTTCGATTTAGCTGGGTAATCTTTGTACTAGTTTTATCGGCGCGACAATCGAACATTGTTTATGGGCCGCAATCAAACTCCTTATCATTGTACAATATCTCATAAATGTACCTACTAAACTAAACTAGTTAACTAGTTGCGATAACATTGGACGTAAGTACCTATATATACATATAACAATAGGAAGAAAGGGTAATATAAACTTGTATAAAGGAATGTGACAGGTCTGACCCCATAGAATATTTCTATTCTTGATCCGTTTGTCTGCCTGCCTGACCGTCTGTATTTACACAGATCTCTCAAGGACTATAAGAGCTAGAGACTACAATACCATAAGTATATACATGAATACATATAGGGATATCCATTGCTTCTGTTTAACACGCAAGCGTTTGAGGGAAATATATATATATATATAGTGCATAGTATAGACAGAGTATAGTGCTGCAAGGCTAAGAAGCACTTCCTCAATTCGAACAATTGGAAAATTTGAAAATTGTATAAAAAATCTTAGGACAAAAATCTGTGGTTGCTGTTATTACGCAACTTTTTTCTAATGTGCTCTATATTTCATTTTGCACAGAAATAAATGAGAATGAGAACCATTATTCATTGACTATTTGAAAAGATCTTTGCCTGTCAAATACCTGGGATTTCTAAGGTCCTCAACTATGGCAAAGTCCATAAGGCACTAATCTCTTCAAGCATATCGGCTTAACACTTAATCTAAACCAATCCGTACGATAATGAACATACTTATGTTTGATACTTATAGCATATTAAAGTATTACAAATACCACTGATTTCCAAATCTTAAAACTCTTCAAAAATTTCGTTTGAATTTGATAGTTCTAATCATAATCTGACTAAATTTTTTTGGTCGTTAAATGGTTATTTTTTTGCTTTAGAGCAATAAACATCCAAGGAAAAGTATGGATAAAGGGTATTGATTAGTCCAGAAATTGGGAATACAGTATATTTGAAAGTATACTTTAAGCGTTTCCTATGTCCATTTAATTAATTGTTAAAACATGACAGTAGTTCAAACTTGACAAGTTCTTGTGGAAAATTGTATTTTTATGCGATAAAGCTTTGCAACTAATAGTCCAGTGGGCAGATAATAAATATTATCAGCATAAAGCAAGCACAATCGTAGATATTTGTTAAGGACGTGATATCTGCAGCACTTTTTTTCATTTGGGATTTACATTTTCATTAGTTCACGTTACTTTTCTAGAATCTTTTGTACAATCTAATATTACACTTATCACATTTATTTATAGATTTAATTTGTTGTAGTTTTTTTTTTTCACAAAAATCCCTTTGGATTACTCATTCTAAATAATTCTGTACAAAATATGATTTTATAGATCACAATGTTATTTATTCGACGTTTATTTTATAATCGCTTTTGAGATTATGAAGCACAACACTTGAGCACGTTATCCTTGATTATCACACTTGAGTCCACCTACCACTTGGATTATTGGCATATAATACCAGAAGTAGCAGAGCTACTCCTACTGTGGCCACTCTCATGATCAATGGGTTTCACCCGACGCGTATTACCAATTAAATTGGAAACGGGCAACTAATTTTGTGGCTAGGTTTGCAGCGGCTTTTATAGATTTGGCGTTCGACAGTTCAATAAGCCCATATCACCGTTAGTCGGAACAGAGTTATTGCCTTATATTAATGAGTATGATTATATTTCACTGTTGCCGAATGTGCGATAAAACGAATTTCAACTTGCCGTTATTTATAACACCCCAACCACCAGTGGTAGCCCACATATGCGAGTGTAGGGCAATTAACATAAAAAGCAAAAACAATTCAATAGATAAGCCCAAACGCACGGTCTAGTCACAAAATCGAGCCCGATACACATTTATACTCGTGTAGTCCGATTATCGTCATTTTGGCGAAGCTAGAATCGAGATAAGGCGACAATAAGCCAATAATATGTTATGTGAACTGCAGGCACGCAATACATGGCTTTTATACGTATTACGCAGACGATATATGAGCGATTGTACAATGTTATTGTCAGACTGATCCCGTAATCAGTTCTGGCAATGCATTTGGAGTTGCAATCGGCAATTCTCAATGTTAATGCAGTTCAAACTTATCATTTGATAAAATCTTAGCGATTAAAAAATGGTAATCGCTACTCGAATATACACAATTCCGATTTGTTAACATTTTTTGATTTGCAGTACTTCCCGCAATTAATTTAATTATAAAATATTTATAGTTTAGGTGTTACCAAGCGATGTCGTTAGGTTTTTCAAAGATTTCACAATCGTCACAATTTCATAAGAGATTAACTGTCCTAATCAAGTTAAGATTGCGGTTATTGGGTTTTTCTAGTATTTTAGTATTTTGAACCTTGTCATAAAGTAGCTTAAATTTACTTTTTTTTTATGAGTAGTATTTCCAGAATCAGATAAAGTTCTACTATTAAGACTATTTACATGTTGCGGACTTTCTTTCCTTGCCAAGACCCTTATTTTTAAGTGTTCGGTGTCCGAACTTCTGTTTTCCTGTTTTAGTGATGAGCTGCTTATAATAGTATATTTTTGGACTATTATTTTTTTTTAATATTCTGTTATCAACAATGTTATTAAACAAACAAATAAAAGAAATAACCAAACGGTATTTTTATAGTATCTGCTAATATGAACTGTAAAACTAGCTTCGCACTTGGGTTGGGTGTGTGATCTTTATTGTAAACCTTATAGTATATGTATATTTATAAATATGTGATTAGCCAAGTGTTTTATCGTAATTTATGAACATTAACAATCATTTAACGGTTATTAGATTAGTATTAGGATGGAGGGAAGGTCGTGAGAACTCTTTTTTACTTTTTGTACAGTAATTTATTGGGGCCATAAAAATACCTAATCAACTGCAAAGCAACCAACAAAATTGGAATGTTTTTACTCCATAAGCTCTGAGCGCTGTCTGGCTTGGGTGTTGTTGTTGGGGTTGGGGTTGGTGGCTCAGTGGGTGACTGTGTCGTTGTAGTTGTACTAGGTGTAGCACTGGTGCTGGTTGAGGTAGAAGTTGAACTTGAAGTTGAAGTTGAACTTGAAGTTGATGTTGAGGTTATCTCTGCAGTCTCCTCGAGCTGCTGGCCATTGCAATGCGGCATATCCAAAGGATCACACAGCTGACAATTGGGATTGGCAAGGCAGCTGATCTGCTCAGATATGGTGAGGGAGCAACCTCGTTCGACTTGCTGATCCTTAATGCTCGCATAGCACAGGCTGCGTCCGTTTCGGGCTATTCCACAGGATTGAGGCACCAGCTGCTCCGGTGCAGTACGGCAACGATCATCCTTCAATTGACAATGCATTAGTTATAGTTTCTGCTGTTGAACTACTTTAGTTTCTTACTCACCTGTATGTCCTGACACTGCAAACAGGATAGCTGACTGGAACTGACATTGTTGCAGTTTGTACTTACACAAATCTCACATTGAAGTTGAGTGTTGTGTTCGCTTTCACACCGCTCCCGCCAGCTATCCCCGAGCAGCTCCAGACAGCCCTGAGCCTTAACCATGCCCCCTTCAAATACACTGACGCATGCATCGAGCTGATCCACACACTGCTCTGTGGCCTGGTAGCTGCTTCTCTGGCAGTTAATGCCGCGACAGTAGAAGCATGAATCCGATGCCAGTACGAAGGGCGCCTGGAGCAAGGGATATAAAATACAGAGAATTGCGCACTTCCTGGTCAACATTGAAACTGAGCCATTTAGCATTTGGTCGGGCAATAATGTAGACAACGCTTTATACAAACTCAACTGCACTCGAAAGTGTTTTTGCTGCACTTGAGGTGCAACATAGTCCTGATTAGTCGGTTATTTAGCACTATCTGCCAGCTGAACAAGTATCTATCGATGTTACCCCACCCAAAGTCAAGCCCTTTGATAACCGAATGTTTGTTTCTATTTTTCTCGAGCATTGTGCAAATAGCAGCTTCGTTTGACAATGCATTAGCTTTAATGTACTTAAATACTTGTTTTACTTATTTGTCGGCATTATAGTGAGTCTTCCTTAGCCATGAACAAATAAACATGTTTACAGAATGAATGGAATTTTTCCTTGGAATATATATGTTTTATCTCTTCAATCATATGATTTAAAGATTTCCGAGAGTGGAGACTATCTATTATTACTATACACATTTCTTTGTAATTAAATAAACATTATTTAGACATTGTTTTCTTGGAGTTTGGGTAAACTAAATCGATACAGAAATTTGTCTAAAATAATTGAATTGTATTTGATAATTTTCTAAAAACTCTGTTCTCACGATATCATTGATCAACCTAAAGTTTAGTTTTAGTTTAAAGTAGAATCTCTTTTAATTTATTTAAATAAAAGTCAACGAATATGTTTCACAACTTTGCACGGTTTGTCTAAAAACTAATCACAATTCTATTACTTTATTGTGTGTAGCTACGAATGTTGAAAATTATGAAATTTAGATCGCAGAGCCACCATATAAAATAGTAGAATAGTTTGTGTAAAAATAGTCATAATTTTGATTTATGCACAGTTTTGTATCTTTCAAAAAAGAACACGTTGTTTATTTTTGGTTGCTGATTATCTTATCTGAATTCGGTTCCAAACATTGTTTGATTAATGGCTAGTTTCCCCAATTTACCCATTACTCATACAAGATGTCGATCAAATTACATACAAGCTGCCGCACTTATTTATTTGGTTAGTTTTTATTTATTTATTGGTATTAAATTAGAGCTAACGTAGAAAGCGAATAAAACGATTGCCAGCACTTGAATCTGTGACAATGTTGACGCTGTTGCATCCTCGAATATCGCCAGACGAGCACAACAGGCAGTTGGCGTCCTTGAGGCAATCCTGCTGATCGATCACGGTTGTGGCACAACCGCGCTCAATGTGGCTGCTGCCCGAACCCGAAGCCTTCACGTAGCAATAGGAATTGGCAGCCTTGGGAGCAGCACAGACTACCGGCTTCAACAATGTGGCGTTCTCAGCACAGTTGGTGTCCTTTGTAAATATGGAATTTTAACTGGTTCGTCGTGGCAGAAACTGAAAGTTGTTGTGTTGCCTACCTTACTGGAATCGCACTGCACACAGGCAAATCTTTCGGAGCCCACATCGTTGCAACGATTCGAGTTGCACTTAAAGCAGGAGCCATTGTTCGGTGAGTCGCAACGTTGGCGCAGCTCAACGGGAATCTCCAGCGAGCAGCCCATGTAGAGAACCTTGGCTGCTTCGAATTTTAGTGATTAGAAAAGATACTCAGAATCTGTGCTGAAGTGGCAACATACATTTCTCGTAGATAGTCACACAATAGTCCAGCGAGTCTACGCATTCTTGCTCCTGTGTCGGAGACACAGTTCGCTGACAACTGATGCCATGGCAACTGTGGCAAGTCATTAAGGTGTTGGCTTCGCTGCAGCCTGACGAAAGGACGAGCAGCAGCAGCGCACTGAGAATTGCTTTGACTTTCATGTTTGAGCTTCAACTGTTTGCCAGTTAACCAATAGGTTTGGCTTTTATATGCGGTCAACCAGCTGAAGTGCACTCGATGTCATTTCTAAATGGCAAGAAAACACTTGACAGCTGAAAAAGTTGTATCACCTAGCTTAGGAAAAGTTCGATTACTGATAAATAACATTGAAACAATACTAAGAGATATCACAGCAAGAATAAGTCGTTGATTTCTTCTATTTGTCGACACAAGACACAAATATTTCAAAACTGTGCTAAAATTTGTGTTTAAATGCCATTAAAATCTGAAATATTTATTAAGTCAGCTTCAATCATCGATTCTGTTTGTAAGTTCATGTTTCCAAATATATATCTCGATGTGTATCTATATATGTAATGATGTTATAAAAATGCTACCACAATTAAATACTCCTTTGCTTTCTGAAGTGCCCTCATTTGACTCTTTGTAAATTTCCTTTTTTATTCCTAGCATTTGTTAGCCAATCACATGCTGGCTTAATGATTAATACCAAATTTAATATAATCTTGATATCTGCGACAAGCGATAAGCGAAAAGCCCCAAATTGCAATCAGTTCTAAACTTGTTTTCGATTTTGTTTATTTTTATTTAATCAACAAAATTTATACATCTATATAGAGTACACTAGTCAAATATTTTAACAGCCAGCAGGCCGAGCATTCCCAGCAAAAGTCCCAGTAATTGTTGTGCCTGTGACGCTGCAGACTTGTACTCCAGCTGATAGTTGTTGCAGGCACTGGAGCCGTGTGCATTCTCCGGTAGGCAAAGGCTGCATTCGATGTCCTTTAGGCAACTCTGTTGCTCCTTTACATTCAAGGCGCAACCCCGCTGCTGGTGGCTATCAACGTTCTTCACGTAGCAGTAGGCGTTATTTGAAGTGGGTGCAGGGCATTGGGTGGGCATTATGCTGTCGCCTGCCAAATTGCATTTGGAATCCTGCAGGAAATTAAAGAATTTAGAACAAAAGAACATAAAACCATTTGCAGTACTCACATCAGAGCCATTGCATTGAATGCACTGAAAGTCGATGCGTCCCTGATCATTGCACAATTCTCCGCTGCACTTTTGGCATTGTTTGTCCTGTGAATTGCACTTCGATTGCGCCGCCAGCGAAAGCTCCACCAAGCAGCCCCTCTCAATCACCCTAACTGTGAAATGTAGATACATAAATCATTCTGTATAATTATAATGTCTGATCTACCCACATCTCTCGTAGACAGTCACACAAATGTCGAGCAGATCGTTGCACTGGACTGTAGCATTTTGCAATGTGGTTCGCTGACAATTGATACCCTCGCAGCTGTAACAGTGACGAGGAGACGATGTACTCACAGCAGAGTCCCTCAGCTCGGCAGCAGCAGTTAGGGACAGGCACAGCAAAAGGAATACAGCAGTTGCCATAGTCATGTTCTTTTTACCTATAACTTTGGCTTGCAAACCAAAACTAAAACTAGCAGCAAAATTGCACGCTACAATTTAAAATCAAATGTCGGCACTTGATTTTCATTTGAATTGTGTGCATTACAAGTTGGAGATTCCGATTACAAGGTATATGTGGTTAAAAATGTTCAATGGCTCTTATACCCCAGGCACTTAAAGCAATGACATCAGGTACGAGGCAAAGTTGAATAGGCTTTGTTGTATGATAACTTCAACGTGCTTATTCACTGACTTCCATTGTGGTTTTCTTTATTCATTTTATTTTTATTTCTAATATAAACATTTGCTTTTTTAAAATTATTTTATCGCCCCACTTGATATTCTTACTTCGATTACTTTCAGCTTACACTACTTAAGATTTCCTAATTCTTCCTGATATATTTTTGTGGCTGATGTGCCAACCTTTTGTTTGTATGACTCTTGAAGTGACCAATATCTTGAGTAGCTCAGTGATTTTTTGCTTTGCTAAAGCTTATCTGCTATACTGCAAAACAAATATTTGGCAAATATATAGGACTATTATCTATATATGTATTGAAGTGCACTTTTCGATTTGCTGTGACTCATGATATATATTTAGTCTGGTTTCCCATATACTTATATTTATTTTTTTCGTGAACATCGCATTCTCAATTAAACAAGGTCATTTTCTTTTACTACCATTTATTGCCATGTGATCTATATCAAAAGTTGCTTCATATTTCGTGTGAATCATTGGTAATTGGCCATATTCGACCAATCGGTTTTATTAGCACAGTTATCTACTGGTTATCAAAGCCATCAGAGCTCTTATCAGCAAGTGCTTAGAATTTATACACAATGCGTAAATTTATGACGCTCGAACCAAATATTGGCAACTGAAAAACTTTTGTCATAATTTACACAAAACTCGAGGCCTCCTCCAATAACAGTTGTCAACATATTCTGGCCAAATTAAATGGGCAGACATGTGTTTCCCGCATTCAAACAGGGCCAACCGATACACAGATATGTGTAATCGTGACAAAAATGTACACGAAATAGTTAGCTGGAATTCCAAAGTGTTTTTATTAAGTAATTTAGCCAACCACATGCGAGAATTGAATCAGTTTCCTACTTTCTTTTTTTAGATAAATGCAACAAATATTTTGTGTTTTTGTATCGCAGTATCGTTGTTGAGGACTGTTGGAATCTGTTTAACTTTCCCATTTTGTTTCATATACATTTTTTTTGTTCATTCTAAACTTTTCCGAGCGTATTGTCAACTGTTTGGTAACTTTAATGCGAAGGTCACACTCAAAAAGTTGAGTTCTTTTAAATTAAAGCACAAACTGTACTTATTTGCATATATTTACAGCAGATTTTCTTTACAATCCTGGCGGACGGACAGAAGCATGCGGAGATTACGTTACACAATCGCAAAAGAGAAATGCTGCACGACAGAAATGAAAATAATGCCACAACCATAACAAAGAAATATGCAAAACAGATGAATTGGGGATAAGGGCGCTCACAGAAACAAAAGGAAAAACAGCAGAAAAAAAAATGAATGGAAAACAACAAACAACAAAACAGAAATCGTTATAAAAATTGTAACTTTTTTCTTTTACCGGCGGGACAACTTTTTTTTTTTTTGGGATATAGTGGGCAGTAAGTGTTAAAGACAGTGACATAACGAAAATGAAAGCGGCAAGGGGGTTGCTGCCACAAACAGCAAGCAGCACAACTGCAAGGTAAATCCACTTATAAACGTATCAAAACAAAACCGGAAATGGACTTCGGAAGTTCGGAAGTGTAGCATTTTGGATTCAGAATTTACCGCCTAATTGAAATGGACACCACTGTTCGCAGTACTCAGCTGCAGTTTGTTTGATGAGTCTTTCTATATAAAGTGTATTTTAACTTTAAAAATCTGCACTTAACTGCATGATTTTCAGTCGAAACTTAAGCGATAATTGCCGGCAAATGCAGCTTGAAATTTAATTCCAAGCACCTTGCGCATATTGAAAATGGGAATGGCAAGCAATTTGCACAAATATTGCAGGCAATCATATGCTACCATAGATACAAGAATTTAGCTATTTGTTATGCATTGAGTGCTTTTATCTGATGATATACACACACACACACACACACACACACACATTTGTGAGTATGTGGATGTGTTTTTGTTGGTGATTGCATGTTTGGGGCATTTGCCAACCCGCTGGGGACACTTATCGAAAATGCTGCCTTCTCATAATTGACTTGAATCATTTTGGGCAATATGCATTCATATCGACGGCCTGACGAACAGACAAACCGACTGACAAAACTGATTGATTGATTGATGCTATGTGCGTTGGGGTGTTGCGCTGGCATTTCGCATTGCGAATCCGCCTCGTTGTTTCAGTTGATGTTCGGGTTCGCGTTCGCTGTGGTTCGCTGTGGTTCGCTGTGGTTCGCTTTGGCTTTCATTGGCTTTGCCACGTTTTGAGGCCTGCGGTCGCACACATAACATGCCAGCATATTTCCCTATCGCCCACCAGCTCTTCACCTGTCTCAGCCCAACCACACCACACGACACCACCCTCCCCTGCCTCCCACTCTGACTCTGACTCTCTCAATTCAACAGCAAGTTCTCGGTTGTAATTGCGTTTATTGTGCGTTTGAGATTTGTAATTCGCTTGTGTGTGTATTCTGGTGTGTGTGTGTGTGTGTGCATGCTTGTATGTATATGTGTATGCTTGTGTGTGTGAGCCGGCTGGCGTCGTAGTGTTGATTGAAAATGGCTTAAGTAATCGACAGTTGATTGCTTGATTCGATTGTTGGTGTTGTAAGCGATTGTTGTTGTTTGAGTGTGTGTGGGTGTATGTGTGTGTGTGTGTGTGTGTGTGTGTGTGGCTGTGTGTGCATTCCTGTTGTGTCTGCTGAATAGCGCGGATTAGTTTTGCCTCTGTGCCCATGGGCTGTATATTGTCGGTTTTACTTTAAGCTCACAGAGTTGTAAATCTTATTATGACATAACACTCGATGTGGGAGAGGTTTATAAGAATTGTTTAAATCGGAGCGTAGCTGCTTAGTATTTAGACCAAGGCAGCATATCAAATCGGAAGGTTGAGTGAGCAACGCATAACGAGTTAAGACTTGTTGCAGCTTAAAGTGGGTTAAGTGGATCACTTGAATTAATACAAATTGAAGTTACTACAATCAGACATATATATATATGTAGTATACATATATATGCTTAGCGTAAGACTAACTTAGATGCGACATTCGAAAGCGAACACTCTTTGCTCTAAGCCTTATTCACAATAAAGTTTATTATTATTGTTATTATTATATATATATATATTTTATTATTATTGTTATTATTATATATATTCAAGCACTGCAACCTGTTAGATCAATGGAGACACCCTGCTGAGCGTAAAGCCCTTCCATTAACTCTAATTCTAAATCTTTGTCTCTTTGAGGGTCTCTCTGTACTCCGACTTTACCTAGGATACTACATCCATTCCTGGCTAAGGTGAAACAATCTGATATTATGTGCTTTGAGGATTCCTTCTCATTACCACAAGTTGGCTACTGACTCTAGTTAGTCTACAATAACCTGTCAAGATACCGGTAAGTATTCTTAGACAGTTCTTCCCCATGGCTATTACTTGGCTAAGTTGACTGGATACCAGGTGCCTATGCCTCTCTCAATTGCCGACTATTTATTTATAAGACTTACAGATTTATTAATATTTAATAATGTTATTAATAAAGCCAATGACGGAAATGTCAAATAACAAGTAAATTGGAATTGAATACTTTTTGATTATTCCTTTGATTCATATTTTCTTAGGCACAAACACACACCAGACAAACATTTTTCTTGAACATTTCTTCAATATTACAACGTCACTGGCAAGTTACTTTACGTCTGTCGCAAAACCCTGACCCAAATGCATTCGCTGCTTGCCTGCTTGGCTACTTGGTTCATGTAGTGGCTGAGGAGAAAGGGGTATTGGCTCTTAAGGTAAAATAAGCTTCTGGTGCTGCCTGCCTGGCAGCGCTTTGGCTACAAACATTTTTGCGGATGAACGCAGCCACGAGCACCACTTTGTTTGAAGCGGTCTCAAGCGAAGAGGCGATGCAGGGCAAAAGGGCAGTTGGCATCTGAGAGGTGGCAGGTGGAAGGCAGAAAACAAGTTGAGTTTGCTGCGTGAAGCAAAACGTAAATAAAAGCCAAGCAGGCTAACGGCCACGAAAGAAAACGTAAAATGCCGCAAAACTGACGTAAAAGAAAATCCACTTTTCGGTAAAAGTTCTCAGCGAAACGTTGATGTTGTTGCCGCTGTTGTTGTTGTTGCTGTTGTTGTTGTTGTTGCTGTTGTTCTTGCTTGTTTTTTGTAGCTGCTTGCTACCGTTTACCAAAATGCAACCATTAGCTGACCTGAAAAAGCTTCGACCAGACTCTGAAGTGGCGCTCTCCTTTAGTGGCTTCATATGTACTTCAATATTAAACATAAACAAATATAAACAAACTACATCCAAGTGCTACAACAATGGGTGTGTGTGTTTATGTGTGTGTATGTAGATATGTTTGTGCTTACAGCTCTTTAAAGGCAAGATCGAAAGCTTCTGGTCCGTCTGTTAATATAAAACTGTTTTGTATTCCTTTAAATAAGATTTTCGCAGTTCCTGCTGTGTTTTTTATTGCTCAAGAAGTGCTGAAAATTGTGTTAATTCTTGATCAATTAAACTGGTTTAAGAAAACCGTTTTAAATCAAGCCAAACACTAGAAGAAGAAGTTGCTTAACTAGATATGTCTAAATAATTCGTGCTATATTTCAACTTGACAAGTGGATCAGTAGATACTAAATTGAGTCCACCCATCTCTCTCTCCTAAAGATCATTATTAACTGGATTGCATTTGCAGCTCAGTGACAAGCCTCCAACTCTGTTTGGAGTAGCAGTTGCAAGTGGCAGTTGCTAGTAGCGGACAACCTGTCACTGCCCGATAACAAATCCAGTTTTTGGTGACTAAACCCTTGGGTGGCCAATGTCGTGGAGTGCAATCAAAACGGCCATGATTAATGTCAACACAATTGACATAAAGCATTGGTCCGTTGGCCCCCCCAGGCCCCAATGGAAAACCCGAATGCACAACCGGAAAAACTCGACGGGCAAGTGAAGGAGATGCAATTATTGATGGATTATTTACTGTCATTATGACAATGAGATATATATATATATGGCCATATTGGCGGTCAATCTCTCAGTCTGCGTGTCTGGAAAATG